TACTTTTATCGCTCTTTAGCCGCTGGTTATACCCACCAGCGATTCTACTTCACTAGGTCCTCCCGTTCCTTTTGCTTTTTCCACAGAATCCTAAGATTTGCTCCAACTGAGGTCATCCGGACGGTCTGTCCAGTTAGTTGTCTGCAAGCCTTTCGTTTCCCGCTGTTATGCGGGGTATACAAGAAAAGACGACAAAGGGGGTGTCGTTCTGTACAAAAGCGCTTAGAGCAGCACTATTTTCTAGTAAGATAAAGTACTTGCCTATTGCCCAGTCTAAGGCCTATAACAGTCATACTATACTATTGTATATTAGAAAGAAAAAAAGTACGAACGTTTGATTACTCTACAATAACAAGCTCGAGTGACATTGTTTTACCCAGCTCGTTGTCAAATAAACAGGGGCCACCGCAGATGACTTTTTCCCTTGCCTCGGCGCGCTGTTCCGCCGCTTCCCATGTATTAGTAAAGCGACTGCTCAAATAAGCGGGACACGCGTCTCGATCTCGCTACGTCGTTGTCGTCTGTTGAATCGATAGAAAATGTTTCCTGGCGTAGACTAGTTAAATGGTTGGTCGGTCGGTCTACCGACCGACTTGTTTGTGGCTTACTTCTATAAGGGCTTAACATTGCAGCTCTTATAGTAACGAAAGTAGGAATAGAATTGGTGGTCTCTTTATCTCTACCTTTTCCTTCTCTTACGTTCACTTTTGGGTGCGCCAGCGTCGCTTCGTAGCGGACGGTAGATGTGCCGTAAGGCGCCCTTCTTTTCTTGATCCTAATACAGAAGACCGACAAGGTCCTCTGCTCTATTTAGTCTTCTATTACATGTACCCCTCTTGCATATTCGCGGCATTCACACATCGAACAGAACGACGGAGGTGCGCTGAGAGAAATGCATGCACACGCGTTACGGAAAACGCATTCGTTTAGTGAATTACTCAACTACTGTTGTAGCCGCCGCCGCCGCCGCCGCCGCCGCTCCCTGCTGAGCACGTCGGTCGATTTGCCCTGCGTCCTGAAGTTTGGTGTTTCTACTTAGTGATTGAGACTGTTGTCATTATCCCTGTCGACCGTAACTGCTAGAATGAGACTGCGGCGTTACATTGACGGCGATATGGTCGATAACGTTGACAACAGTGGTGGATGGGGGTTATCGTGCGTCGCATCACACTACGCCGGGCGGCCATGGCGACAAGACTACTGTTGGTAAAAGCCGTAGGAGCATTAGCGCTAACCGGTGTTTCTTTCTGCTTTTGTTTGTCTGCTTACGGTCGTGGACCAGCTACCTAGTAAGGACCGCCATGTGCTGCCAATGGTGGTTAGGCAGTACAGTTGTGAATCTTGTGACGCTATTGTCAGTCGGAACTCAATAGTGTGGTCCTGACCGGTTCTCGTTTGCTTCCAGGCCCTTCGGTTCTTTCTATGTAGTGGTCTGTTACTACTACCTATCTAGATGGTACTACGTAGCATTCTCGAAGCAGAATTCAACCAAGCGATCCCGCCGCTAATGTTCGCAATGTGAGGAGTCACTGAGCGCACCGCAATCATCTGTCGAGCGACTACCCGACCAACCCACCTAAGCTTACGCTATACGTCTGTGCCGCTGCTGGGTCAGAATTTGAAGGCTCGAGAACTAGTGTTAAGCGATTGCAGACTACTGACTGCAGTCGCTCGTGCCTCCTAGTAACGACACTGCCCACTACCCATACGACGATTTTCTATGAGACAACCATCGTCGGCTGCCGCTGCCGCTTATACACCGTGATATGTCGCTCTCCACATTCTTCCTGTCTTGATCTCGATAGGTCCATTCGACGATTTGCACGACGACGGCAACAGCGAACGGTTGGTGCGCTTTATCGCACAGAGAAGGTACAGAAAAACACAGGCCATAGGACCGGGCGCAAGGGTACATGTCACAAAACAGGCCAAAGTTCTGCTTTGACTTCTCAGTAGACTATTGTCGCGACGCTACTGGCCCAATTTTCGTCTCTGGCATAGAGGCAGTTTTTCTGCACGAACGAAACGTTACGCAGTCTAGTATTTAGTAGTTGTACACAAGCACGTAGCAACCGTATAAGGCTCGACGAATTGCACTGCTAAAAGTAAGGCCACAGGACAATTAGGTTACATCGTAGAGCAGATCACATCAATAAATCATTCAGGTGATCCAAACTGCTTCGCCTATTGTTTAATTTGCCTACCTTATTTTGAATAACAAAATAACAAGATGAGGTTATTAAAGCATGGCGATAGTATTAGCTTCTATACAGTTCTTCCGACCACGCTAATATTTTACCTAAAGCCCCATTACACTAAACCCTAAGTCACTGATACAATGGCCTTTATTCGAACATACAATATATATATACGTACACAATTTAAAAAAAAACTATTATTAAGTAAGTATAAGTATTATCATGTTTGCTAGATAAACAGGTCCGATAAAGCAACTTGTCAGCCGCTGGAATCATTAAAACAGGTTAGATGTGGTACTTCCGCTCAGAGACCGTTGCGGGAGAATACTGATTTCACAAAGGTACAGCCAAATTTCAGCAAAGCAAACAAAAAAACGAATGAGCGAAAAAGCTGTAGACTCTTAAAAAATTGCCCAGCTACCAAGAAACGAAGACCAATTTCTCCATGAAGAAGCGAGGTCATAACAAATGTAGCTGTTAACGTGAAAACATGCTGCCTTTTTCAGTATTGTATTAACCACTTTAACTTTAAAAACCGTCCATCAATGGGTAAATCGAGGAGGAGAGAAAAATTATTCAGCGACGCCAACTCGTAGATAGTGAGATACGTGATTACTGGCCCTATACTACTACTACTACTACCCCCCTACAGGCTATGATGCCTCTTCTATCATAACATATAAGCACACCGCCTGGAGTGTATATGTGCATACAGACGTACACGTATATTAAGTACATCGTGGAAAAGACAACAAACACGTAATCCCATATGACTAAGGGATAAGATAACCGGCATTTAGTAACGCGTTTTAGCAAAGCGTCTTTAGGATAGAGGCAATAAAAAAAAATGCCATAAAAAGAAAAACGAATAAACAGAGTCTTTGAGTTACACCTTCGAATGCTTATGAAAGGACAGTCCGGCAGACTTTGTTGATTTTGCAATCTTTACAACGTCTGTATTTTTCACTGGGTGCATTTAAGGCACATCGACGTTATTGTCATTGTTTTCTATTGGTAAGGCTTGACTAAGTACCTGAATGATTTCGAGTACCGAGGGGTGCTCTTGCCCATGAACCACTGAGCTTTCGAAAGGCAGGTCACGGGCCAAATACGGCGAACGATAGTCGCGAGTGTGCGAATACGTGCGCCTTCATGGCTTTTATGGCGCGTTACATGTCGTTTTCTTTGTTTGAAATAATGGTGGCTCTCATTATTTTCTACGGGATGCAATTAGTCTGAAATCACCTCTCATCAAAGCAGCTCGAAAGGTTTGACCGAGTTAAGCCTTCGTTCTTAAAGCGGGCCGGGGGCCTACATCGTTTATCATGCGTACCTTTCGAGCTATACATTACTATTTGTAAAGATCCAGGGCGCAGATTCAAACTCCCTATCGCCGGTACCTATTTGGACTTCATTAACATGGGAGAGAAAGATGCTAGAGGCCAATACTTCGTGTAAAGCAACAAGATCGTGGTGCATTATTTTGGGCATCATGTGGCGTCGTCATCGGCGGTAGCCGATTGCGATAGTGTGACTGTTTTCTCATAAATAATAATAACAAACTCATCATTATAAGCTCGAAATCGTCCCGTTATCATGCAAATGGTAGCGTATCAGATCTGACGTCACTTTTTTTCGTCATGCTGTAAACAAGACCAGAGGTGTGTCTTCAGTAGGAGAATGTGCTTCGGAAAATTAAAGAGTTAGTTCTTCATTTTCCCAATGTTGTAGCTTGCCCATATGCAGTACCCGCTCTCTTATTCGGCAGTCACACGAAACAACGAAATACGTCGACGTTCAGAAAGCTCCTTCAAAGTATATAGATTTGTGTACCTGTATTAGCGCCTGCACTATACGAATTTGATTGCGTTTCAAAAATGTTTACGTGTTTTGCTGACTTCGGCCCGATCGTCCACTATCACTGAAGCTGGTACTTTTCAGTCGCCAACTGACAACGGCTTACAGCAACATCATCAAAAAATCCCTCAAACCTAACACAGTAGAGATCGCACGTTTCCTCCAACAACGCTTCGTCTCTCTCTCTCTCTCCCTCTCCCCCTCTCTCTCTCTCTCTCTCTCTCTCTCTCTCTCTCTGTTACTGCATCCCCCGATTCAGAAGTGTCATGCGAAAATAGCGCCATCGTTAAGCGCGTGTTGCCTGCAGGCCCAAGGTGCGCCTGTTCGATGTCGTGGCTGAAGTGTTTCTTGAACTGCATCTGCATCGTTCGCCACATGGTCTCCACATTAACCAGGCAATCTACTGGGTGTGAGCTAGCCAGCAAGCTATCGAAACTAGTACGGTTCGTTGTTGCTACCTCTGCAATTACGGTTTGTCTTTTCATGTCGGCAATGGCTGATTGGCTGTTCCACCAAACAAACATAAACAACGCACTGAGGACGGTCAAAGCGCTGCTCCCGCCACGACCGACATGCGCGCCAGCAGCTTAGCACACCCTATAGGTCTGTCTGCGAGACGAGAGCGTTCGAGTCATTAAAGACAACCACGTCAGCATTGTTAGGAAATTTGAGTGTAACTGTTGCTGCTGTTTGTAATATATGTACGGTTGCTGATGCTATGTTTGAGGTATATCCAGTCGGTCGCTCGCCGTAGCTGTTCGCAATAGCTCCGTGGCCATGAGTGGCAATGTGGTCGCCAGCCTGGTAGGTAGCTGGTGGCTGCTGGTGCCTGTCCGGTGGCAGGCACCATCGGCGGGTTGAGTGGCTGTGCTGGTGCTATGGGGCACTTGCGTGGCTGACTGGCTAACGCTTTCTTCTGGCACTGACAGTAACCGTCACTGTCGCTGCTGCTGCCGCCGCCGCCGCCGCCGCTGCTGCAGCAGCGACAACTGGCGCTATAGTAGCTGCCCTCACCCAGTCCCGCTGCTTCTCTCCCTTCAGGCGGTTTGACCAAGTGACAGCCTTGACGACTGCGGCACCACGTGCTGGCATCAGACAGTTGAAGGAAGTCGACGCGATCGGCAAAACGCGATTGAATCCGTGCCGGTGACGACAGTATCATCTACTGTTATGCGTTATTGCTAGTTGAAATAGAAGCCAGCGACACGCAAACGGATAATATCGGTTTGTAGTAACGGTGGACGCTTGTGATTGAAATGAGGATTGTAGAAAATTGTACGGTGCTCACCAACAGCAGTAACAACATGTGACATTTAGCGAGTACAGCAGAAGGAAACAATTGTAAGCGTTCGATTTTCAGCTGCATGCACCTCGCGTGTAATGCCGCTCAGTTACCGACGTGACCCCTGCCAGTAGAGTTTCTACTACGACTGCCGCTTCAGTGTCACGATTCGAAACTAGCAATAATTTGTTGTTGTTGTTGCTGCTGCTGCTACTACTACTACCGTTGTTGTTGTTGTTGTTGTTGTTGTTGTTGTTGTCGTTGTTGTTTGTTTGTTGTTGTCGTCGTCGTCGTCGTTGTTGTTGTTGTTGTTATAGTGATGGACCTATTGCAGTGAATGCAGTGGTCGACTGTGCAATTCCAAAGTGGGTGCCGGGGGTAATCAATTCGTGTCACCCCCCCAGACTCAGTACGACTTGTCTGCATCATTGGATACCATTTTCGTGTGTTTGTTGAGTTTTAATTGCGGGACACGCGTATTGGATATCATTGCCAGTGGAGAAAGTACCTGTTGCGAACTTTATCTCGTCAGTCATTTATGTGTGTTTGTGTGATCTGTCATAGTCATAGTCATATAATATGGCGTAACATTGATTGGACGTTATTAGCACCATTTTGAGACGCTGTTGAAGTTGTTCATCACCGCTGTTACTTCAGGATGAATTTGTATGATACGCCACCCGTGAACGACGGGCTTGCAGCTGCTACGGCCATGCTCGACAGTAACAATGGACTGCAGAGCGCTGGACGAGGCACTAGCAACGGCGGTGGTAGTGATGGCGGTCGTGCATATGACTCGGCATCCGAGACGACAACTGCTCTTTCTACGGCTGATCTATACGCTCGGAAAAGGCGCGGCAACCTACCGAAGGAATCAGTCAAGATTCTACGGATGTGGTTGTACGAGCACAGGTATAATGCTTACCCTTCGGATCAGGAGAAGTTGTTCTTGAGCAAAGAGACTGGACTAAGTGTTTTACAGGTGTGCAATTGGTTCATTAATGCACGTCGTCGAATCCTACCAGACATCATCCGAAAAGAGGGTAACGATCCATTGCAATATACGATCACGCGGAAGGTTGGAGCGGGTTCGACAAGTCAGAGTTCGCTGACTAGCTCGCACACTAGTACTAGTAATGCGTCCGGACAGAATGGTGGCTTACATCAGGTGTCAGCGACAACAGCGCTTTCATCAGGAACAACGACAACGACGCCAAAATTTGGCGCTCCGATTCATCGTACAACTGCGATGCTTAATCACCACTCGTATTTGGCATCACCCGTCACCTCGGATTCGGACGATCTTGATTCCGACTCCGAGCGCCTCCTCGATGACGATGAAAGCTCATCAGACTCAATGCGTCGGGAAGGCGGGGGTTCGATGCCGTTGAAACTCACCGCCCGCTGGCAGCGAAGCCATGAGCAAGAACAGAGTCATGGTGGGCACCATGGCTTCGTTCATGGCGTAAAGCGCAAACGACACTCGGAGGACGATACCGATGAGTGTTCGGATGACACGGGCGTCTATGGCCTACACACACCATCTCCACCACCTCCACCATCGTCGCCGAAACGTCGCCAGTCGATCTCGTCTATTCAACACAAAGAAGAGTTCAGCAGTCTTCTCATGCTCGTCGAAGTGGCTATTCGGGAGTTAGATAAACAGAAGACACCTAGTCTGTGATCAACTGCTACGGGAAGATAAGAATTAATAATATTACCTTGCTCACTGTTACTGCTACCGCATTATTACAGTTAATTTAACTGCATCGATTATGAAGACCGCAAAATCTTCGGCAAAATGTTGAAAATGAAAATTTCAAGAACCTAGGAAAACGTGCAACGATGATCGTACAATGAGGAAGATTGATTAAGCAATTGATTGAGGCCCAAAGATCACAGATCGGCATTTCAATATTGGCAAGAAGAGCAGACATATTTTTACTTGCTGATGCCCCTGCTCTCTTCGACCTACCTATCTTTACTCTAACATGTAGCAGAGGCTGCATTGGGCATATTCTTCTCTGTTTTCTGGGCATATGAGGGCGAGAGGGAGACCGCCCAACCCCTGTCGCCTACAGCCGTCCACGTTGCTCGTCGATACCAAGATGGCCTCGTTAACAGCTCGAACGTAGCCTGTACAACTCACATGTCGGGACATGTTGGTATTATGTTACAACGAGAAAAAGCAAAATTGACAAATGTTAAACTATGCACGACTAGTAGTATCCTGTTCCCTGATATATGGCATTATCGTACCATAATTGTCAAGTTCAAGCTACCGCTGAAATCCTTCTTACAGAGACGAAATCTGTTATTTATCGAGACACGACGATGTGTCAGACCCAACAGCAGCAGCAGCAGCAGCAGCAGCAGCAACAAAATCTGAATAAGTAAATTAATTCATTAAAAAATCATCGATCTTTAAACTGACAGTAAACGAGTGCCTGAGTCCTGAGTGCTGTCCCGTTCTTCACTTATGAAGCTATATGCGAGCGAGGGAGAGATGGATGCTGTATGATAATGAGCAGATTTCGTTCACAGGGGGTCGTTCACACAGGAAGAAAAATAGCAACATGTAGCAGATACACACACTCGAATACAACTACAGACGCGGCTCACAGACACGCGGACGCACACATACTTTGAAGGATACTCTCATGCAGATATAGCACAGGAACTAGAGAGAAAGCGAGCCTGGCCGTCGGTTGACTTTAAGCAAATCATGGCCCACCTTTTCGGCATGGACTTGCGCCCGGCGACGCCAATGAGCTTGCCTGCGTGCATACCTAGAACAACGTGTGCAGAGCACTCGGACGGTGGAGTCGGCACCAACGAACTCTATAGCAAAACTCTCCATCACTATATCTTGCTCAATCCATCGATCGGACGACAACCCCACTAGCTGGGCTCTACGATTACTAACAGGTGGAGTTGCAAGGCATTAATTAGCCGATGTGCTTCGTGTATGGTGCAGCCCTGTTAACCGTTCATTGTTATAGAAAATAATAGTATAGTATTTCGACCGTATGTGTGAAAACAATTTGAAGAACCGAAGTAGCCAGCATGTGCCGTATTGTGTGATAGAGATGTTATGAAAGACGACACAATAGACCGTACGCACCATCACCATGCTGGGAATGACAGTGGTTCAATTTGTGTACGTTATATGACGCGGCCGTAATTGCGGTGTCGCACCCGAATACACACATATACACCCATACACGGAGCGACAACATACAGATCACAACATTGCGCCAGGAAGAAAAGTGGGCAGGGGGTGTGGAACTAGGCGCTGGGAAAAGTGCCGGACGCCTGAATGAGTAACGAGCACATGGTTAATCTATTAAGGGTAGATCAGCACGAGTGAATCTTAGTCTTTCCCTAGGTTTTTTAAAGGCTTCCCTTTCTTTCATTTGTTTCTTTTACTAGTACGTTTTTCACTGCAGCTCTTTCTACCTCTGTAGTTTTACTCGGTGGCTCAATGTGCCTTAACCACTACTGCATTGTTTATCTAACTCTCGCCATTATGATTACCAGTTATACTAGGATCATGTATTTGCATCAACGATTGCTGATTGATCCAGCTTCCTTGCCATATTCACCACAGTAAAAAAAAAAAAAAACAGAGCAATTAAGATGTTATCGTCGTTGTTGCCGTCTACCCCAAGTGAAGCTGCCGTCACACGTCTAGCATGGCATTAACTATTATTGCGAATATTTCGTTGTTGTTTTCCCTTGAGTCGCTTCCGTTCACGCTACCATCATGCATCCGCCAAATCAAAGCTTTTTTCAATGACTCCTTCTTGCGAAAAATGAAGCAAGCAGTTAGTAGCTATAAAGTATAATTCGTCCCTAGACATAACAGTAAATCGAGGGATGCGCGTTCATAACCGGCCTGCGTGCCTCAGTGTCGACGGAACGTTTTGGCACGTAACTTGCGGCTGATTGAGGCGTGCGGCGAACAGCTACGTAGTAACACGTAAATATTTCTGAGGCCCAACACGAGTGGGCATACAAGGACCAGTGGGTTATGCTTCCAGAGATGTTGGGGCTTTGGCGCCGGTGACGGTAATACCTTGTTGTAACTACAGCATCACCAATAATGCGTTGGTGCTTTAGCAATGAGCCCACCCCACCCCACTTCAGTGCGATCTGCAGTGGGTTACTCCACTAACCCGAACTAAGTCTTTCCGTTGCTTTATTCACTGCTGACTCGTTATTGTCTGCTATGTGTGATAATGCTTCTGGACGAAGTTATATTATTATAGCACGTTCCGCTATAAGCGACATCGGCCATGTTTCGTGCGGCGCCGAATAGTTACGAACTGTCTCGGGGTTGCGAGTCTGCTCTAATTGCTGATAGCATATGTTCCTTGCTAAAGACATTATCAGCCGAGATCCACAACGCTCACGCCTAGCGACTGCCAACGTCCTGTCGCATGTCCGTTTGTGGCCAGGACGTTTATTGTGGCCACCTTTAAGCACGCCAGATACAACTTTATTCGGACAGATTTCGGCAAAACCGGTAGGGAGACCATGACAGCTGGTCGAGCGGGTCTGGGCGGGCGTTAGCAGAAAGCAAGCTAGATGGCATGTCTGTCTATTTGTCTGCGTAGTCGTGTCTTGTTTTTTCTGGCTGTGTAGATAAATATCTTCCTTCTGGTTGACTGGCTTGAACGGACCGAGCGATTAATCCCGGTTGGAGCGTTCGTTTCGAGGGAAGAGACCTTTGTAGCGGCGTACGCTATGCAGCCAGGGCGAGTTATCGTGAACGAATGAAATATTAAAATAAAATTGGAAGAGGTCGACCCAAGAAACAGCCAGAGCGTCGCCACTAGCGGGCAATTAGCTTGAAGTGCTGTCCTCCCTATGGCAGCGTTTGATTTCTCTTCCTTGCTTCGACGATCGATTCTAACTTCTGTTTAAGCTAGCGATAAGAACCAAAATAGCAACAGAGCCATCTACCCCTTAGCCGTGTCCTATTATATAACCAAAGGACAAAAAAATGTGTTGTTGTCACCATGTTATTTTAACGATACGGTTCTCCCACTCGCTTAGAAACTGAATGATTTGTTCAAGATACTTAGCAGCGTCGCGCGGCGAGGGCCGACAACACCGACTCGAGCCTTCTACGGTCCATAGTTCTGAGAGGAATCATTAGTTTTTTGCCATTTGTGTTATTGCGTTGCAATTTTTTGGGCTCTGTTGTGGCCATAAATGTCTTATTTTTTTAAATATTAACTCTTATTTTTCACGTAAACTACTTAAAAAAAGGCTTATTTCTTATCTATTCGTTTTATATGAAGATAAGAGAGTTACTTTCATATGAAACTTTAAGTAGATATGTATAGGATAGGGGAACTGTTCGTTATGTTGAGTCTCGCCTTGTTTTACGTTGTCGATCATCCAACAATTCGCTTATATAGATGTCTGTACGGTCTTTCTCCAATGCTGGCCGCCTTGCGACTCTGGTTGCCGCTCTCACTGATACTGTTCTATCCGATCTGATACACCTCGGCTACGATAGTAAAAAGTACGTAAAATGCTGGTCGATGCTTTTTTATGTAATATTTATTTTTGTTTATCCGCTATTTCGGTCAATTGTGTGTTTATTTGACGGATGCACAGTACGAGGTGTAATTTGTTTTTGGATCGATCTGGTGTTATCTCCTCATACCTGTAGAGTACGACTCGCAGGTAGGACGAGGCGCAATAGTGCCCCGATATTAGGGAGGACCCCCGCAACTGTCAAATAAGAGATCGTTCCTATGGCGGTGCGGCGTTATTGTTGGAATGAAGTGGAAGCCTTAATCAAGATTAAACGCTGTATCGAAGAACAGAGGTATCAAGCTTGGGTGCCCTGATTGAACATAAGTGACGATAGCGGAACGGTGAAAACGTACACTGCAAACGTAATGCTAAAAAGCCATTTTTTTTGAGGCGCAACGACGAAGGCCGACGAAATCATATGGGTATGGCAGAAGTAGATGGCAACAATGTTGGCCAAACCAAATAGCGCATTTAGGGTTTTTGGGCTATAACGTAGCAACGACTATACAAATAGGGTGACAAATGTGTCAGCTAATTTATTTATAGCTATTTTGGAAGAAAATACCAGTTAGTACTGTTACTGGAAATGTTTCTACCGCTATTATTGGTATTGCTAGCATTATTTTTTATGACCTTCAAATGTACTTCTGCTTGCAGCAAGCTTCCATTATTTCACCGGCTTAGCACTACCCTTTTTGTGTACACATTAAGAAATACAACGTAGGTTTTTCTTCTTGTTGTCCCTCATAAACTGTTTGACGAAACTAGAAGTTTGGCCAACTACCGTGCGGGTGACCGAGCAGTTACCTGCCTCATTGTTGGGTTCATATAACCCACTTTGGCTAGCAAAATTGTTTGTGGCTGTGGGCGGCATTGACAATGGCAGTCAGGCACGAAGGCATTAAACGAACCGTTTCGAATTACGGAATTATATGCTCCAAAAAAACATTGACTGACACACACACACACACACACACACACTCTATGACATGCAGCCAACATGCAGGAATAGCATATTTGATAGATTTTGTATAAACAGACATATAAAAACACTTCGATGGACTTAACGTAACTGTTTATGCTTAGCGAATTAACAAAATTACATAAAGTGACAATGTATCTATAATAGATGTCAGTCGCTGGATAATTGATTTTACACGTATTATATATGTGCGTATATAATATGATGAATCCAGATGATGTTAAGGGGACACTGTCTTTCGAGAGGAGGCCTACCGCTCGTGTAGCAGTGTCGATGTATAGCTTTTTTCACAATGATGATACAGCTACAGATCATCATCGTCATGTTGGCGTTTAAATCAGTTGACATATCAGTCTTACAAATGCGTTTGTCACTTGGTCTTCCTTTGTTTTGGTCACTGGATGCAGATACGAGAAGCAGTTTGCACGCCCAGCTTAGACATTTTTTTGCCGCTCTCAGCTGAAACTTACATGTGCCTTATGCAAGCATAAAGCTCGATGCGTCAATGTGGCGCAGTGGTTTCTAGCCGACGTTAGAACGGATGCGGCACGCACGTGGTGCGCGGGGGGTTCAGATTGGTGTATCATTTTGTTGTATGGCACCCCCCTCTTCCAGTTTGTTGCTTGGTTAGGTGCCATGGGTGTGCCGGTGTCGAGGTGACATTGATTCGGTATTAGCGGCTTTTAGTGGCTGTTAGCGTTAAGCTGAGTAAAATACAAACCACCATCACCATGATATAGCCCCTCTATTAACCGCGGCAGATTAGACTGAGTCGTCGCAACTTTGACAAAGCATCCTGGGAGAGCGCTAACCTCCAGCAATCCTCTGATACCGAACACTAATATGCCCTCTTCGGCCCCTCCTGCCCCCTCCCCCAAAAGTCGGGGGATTTTATGATCTCCGGCAAGCTGTTCTTGAAGCTTTTCTTCGTTTTTAGAGTTTTTTCGTTTTCCGTCGTTAATTAGTTGAGTTTGGTTGATTGATTGATTGATTGATTATAGCGCGCGAATACGTGGAGTGTTTTTATTCGTTGGTTGGGTCCTGGCGCTGGTGAAAGTGACGCCGGCGTGGCGGAGGGTGCATTGGTCTGGATGTGGGTAGATGGTGCGTCGATGCAATATCATTGACGGTGCAAATGTTCTCCGTGGCCTATGTTGATCCACAAGCTAGCCGACTGACCAGACGGCTCGCGGTTGATTGATTGATTGACTGACTGACTGACTGACTGACTGGACGATTCATTCTGGGGTGAGAACATGCCCCTGGAGCAGCGCACGAAGCGGAAGAGAGACGCGTTGTTGAATAGAGTGAAAAACAAACAACGCGAAACGATGACTGCCGGCCGGGCACGAAATTTGGACAGGAGTTCCAAGTGACAACTCGAAATACTACTTATACACAAACACAGATACACACACATAGATTGCATTGCGTTTTCAAGCTTTCAATAACTGAGCCGAATTCCTATGATAATGGTGGGGTAGTCGGAGTTTAAGAACCGGTAATCCAATTGGAGGTAGCTGACGTTGAATTAGGTCAAGAGATCAAGTGGAGTATGTTGTACATAGGCAAACATATATATATATATATATATATATATATATATACACATACACATATATATATATATACATATATATATATATATATACACATATATATACGCATATAGGTGGAAGAAGATCGGTGGCCATTATTGTCATTGCGTAGAGTTTGATGTCTAAATACGGATGGATTAAAGAATAAGTGATGTATAAAGTTTTGCTATTATTACGGAAATGGATTCGACAAGAATTGTTGCTAATTGAGTAGGAGAGAACGATGAAGACGACGGTGAAGTTATGACATATATAGATAGATAAATATATTTACCCATTACTGGGGTTTCGGTGAGCATTCATGTCGTATGTATCATGGTGACAAACTAATGAAACTGTAATGCTACCACGATAGTGCTAGTATTATGAGTGCTGTGTCACGCTGAAGGTGAGGCTTTCTAAATAAAAAAAAAAAAAAAAATACGTGGAGGGTCTGAAAGTGGCGTAGAATTATGAGGCAACTCTGTACTGTAAAAAAAAAAAATAGAGACACACAACAAACGAAGAATACACACATCGCATTTATAATTATAGTGTATTATTATAATTATCAACAACAAAATATAGCATTAAAATTATTGCCAGTTGAACATATATCCGTGCTTGTTCTCATTTACTTTTTAGGTATAGGTAGTATACGGATCCATGTATGTATTGCTAATTAACAGTACGAAAAAAACTTTTATAAACGTAAAGTGTATATGTGCCGACGTCTCTATAAGCAGATGTCAGCAACTTTTAACTCAGATGTCCAGTATATAAACGTGCCGCCGTGGGTCAAACATACGTCGCACAACCGTATGATAATTACTAGAACTTCATTATTGTTATTATGATATACCATAGTATATCTATATAGTAGTATACAGATAATGCTATAGTATAGTTTAAATATAGTATGAATTGTCGCAGCAAACGGGAGACCCGATTGGGCTTTGGATTTTTACTTTTTTTTTTTTCTTTTTTTTTTCTGTATATGAGCATATGCTTGTACGAGTTTAATAGAGAAAAGTGGTTATTCGTTAGCTCATTAGTAAGTAATGTATATATATATATATATATATGATAATAATTTCTTCCTGGCTGTAGCTCATCGGGCGTGTGGGACCAGCTAAATCTATGTTTAATGTTGCTTGCGTCAACAACGGCGTGCGACTCAACGTTGATGTTGTGGATGCTCACTCGTCTCTCAGCTGCTGTTTTCTATTTAAGCCGCCGCCGCCGCCACCTGCACCACCTCCACCTCCATCTCTACCACCGCATCACCGCCATTACCGTTCTCTATCGTCACCCTTATAGCTAGACGAAGAGACTACGCAGAACGAGCCAATGCTGCGAGTTTTCTTTTGTACGGCACGGCGGCCGCTCGCATCGGTGGCGGCGATTAATACTCAAAAGCTCTTCGAATACACTCGCTCGCACTAGGATACGGCATATTTGTCTATTTGGTTCGATCTATTGATTTGTTGTGTGCGTCTCGCCTGTCCTATCCAGTGCCTATTTCTTCCTTCTTAAGAACTGACAAATTCAGCTGATCGACTACCCTAACAGCGGATATTTTCTTCCCTACTTTCGCTCTCTTTTCCCTTTATTTTTCGCTAGTCTGATCGCCAAACCTACAACGTTATGAAGTTAATTTCACTATACCATATCTGCTCAATGGCCTGTTGGATTTTATCGTTTAGCAACAACGGCTTCCCCAGTACAATATTGCTGCTGTACAAGTTTGTTGATACCGATAATTTCCTCGACGGTCGCTTGTGTCGCCGAAGACAGTCGCTTAACTTCGTCGCCAACGGCTGCAACAGCAATCAGCCGGTGGGCTTCGGGTGGTTGCTCCCGGATCGCTCCGAACACTGCGCGGTTCAATGCTGCGGCTACGGCTGTCAAGGACGATCGGAACAGCCCCGAACAAACGAGCGGGCGACGTACCGACCCACCAATGTTAGTTCAGTAGTCGCACGCTTCGTCAGCCGCTCTGTTTGCGTCTGTGCATTATACTAGCAATGTCTACGCTCCGGTGCTTCGTTCGTGCTGAACGAAATGAATAAAATAATCAAATTCGTCACTGCCATTGTCGGTAGCGAGAACAAGAAAAGAAGGCACGACGTCATCGTCGACTTGGTGTCAAGATTTGAATGGGATTAATTTATAAGAAATCTTATTATAGTGAAAGTGAGATACATATTTATTTACTATGTAGATAGATACTATTTATTTACTATTTAGATAGATAGATAGATAGATAGATGTCATGACAAAGTTTACATAGATCTGGACTCTTTACTATTCATCTTGGCAAATACTGCGGTATTTGCAGGTTAATGAATCTTGCCTTTCAGTATGGACCGTGGTTGTTATCGGCGAGATTTTGTTAGGTAGGTACTGTTCCTGCCCATCATTTAAATGCAGCGGATTCATAAGTTGTCCTTTCAGTTCTTCAGGTCTCTTTTGCCCTTTAGTAGGTTTGCCAAAACGTGCTTTCCATACATTTTTTTGAAGTAATTTAGTAGAACAATTATTTTTTTTTGTTAATTGGGGTGTAATTAGGGTACACTACTCGGATTTATTGCTCGAATCCGTGCAGTTCAATAGCGAATTTTATTTCCAGTAGGATGGAACACCTGTACGCTATCGTTGTGGTGTAAGAACATGGCTTGATCGGAATCTTTCAAACAGATAAATTGGAGAAAGAGGTGCCACAGAATGCTCTGCCCGTTCGCCAGACCAAACGCCAGTGGACTATTTCTTATGGGAATGTGGTAATACCCCAAAAGATAAGGCCCATCCCTGAAAATCGACGGAGCTGGCGAATTTAAAAGCCGTTGAGTTCGTGGATCAATAGCCGACCGATATCAGCAATGTATTGACCAGAATAGTAATCATTTTGAGCATCTGTTGTAGGGGAAAAAGTTCTGCATTTTGTGTCGACTCTTTTACAGTCTTAATGCTCAAGTCAACTGAATCATAATCATTAAAACTATGCATAAAGTCCTCTGTATATTAAACTGTCAATTCCTATCTATATGATGTTTCTATGTATTATATGGTTATATGTATATATGGCGGCTAAGGCGTTTTGATTATCAGTATTTAGCAACAGTGTTCTTCATTGTTTAGTTTTCCTGCGGCGTCGATCTCGTGGGTCCATTTGCCAGATGCTGGTCCTACTGTTGATAGACGGTGCGTCTGCGGCCGCTGTGGACGGATAATTCTAGCAGTGACGGATCCTGTGACGGCCATTGCCTCCCGTTCGCAGTTGCGTCTTACCCGTTCTATCCGTTGCTGGTCGTCGTGTAAGGTGACTATAGCAGCTCGTGTATGATCTATTTACGTTAGTGATGTAGTCGTCTTCATCAGGCCATAGCGTTATCTCACTCTCTTCGACGAACCGCAAAACAGCGAGCAGCAACAGTGGACCTTGCGTGGACACGGACAGCTTTGCTCATTCTTTCTATCGCTCTTCGCCACAGGCTGGGGCGGTCTGGTGCAGAAGACAACCAGAACGACGGCTATCCGCTTTTACCACCCTAGACGTTTTCGTGATCCAATTCCAGGTAATAAAGACCGGGAAAGAGCACGGGAAAGGAGGGATTGCTTGAGATAAAGACAAAAGGACCGTTCAATAATACTACTGCCGTCAGCAGGCACCAACTGAAGTGTGTGAAATGCTCCGCTAATTCCGTTCAATCCGTATACAATAGCCTGTCGCTGTGAGACATAATGCTACATTCCTGTAAGGCCTATTGCATCAAGGCTTCTGGCTCTCTTCACCCTTGTTTGCCTCACTTCATCCGAACAGCAACAATTAAGGACGAACGATCCGAGTTTTATCTTCTGATGTTTTTTTCTACGCGCAAGGTGCCAGAATCATAGCACTGAGAAAACATCACACTCTTTGTAACGTGTTTACGCCATTCGCAGTCGTAGAGGATTAGCCATCTGACTAGCAAGCGGTACTCTGTAATAGGGCGAAAAGAGGCTGGCTGGCTGGCTGGCTGGCTAGCTGGCTGGCTGACCGTAACATTAATCATATAAACAAGTATGTAATACGCATATATTAGTCTATCTTGACCAAGCGCTCGCCAGACAGCGCCGCCCTGTTTCGTTCAGGAACTAGTTAAGTGGTCAATAAACAGTCGTTAGTAGAGGTGTGCCTAACTTGCAGTTAATAATAAACGTGACATTGATGTTCCAGTAGATGCATGTAAATCGCATGCTATTCTGATGCAGTAATCTTAAAGATAGAATTCGAGGTAGACTCAGGATGGTCTCGGAAAGGATCAGATGGTGGTTTGAAGGAGCGAGGAAAAAGGCGCGCCATTCTCTCGTGGTTAAAAGCCCAGTAACGTTTTTCTATAAGCACCTTCCCGTTGTGCTGCATTCCGTTGGCTTATTCGTGCGCTTCGATGCGGCCATTTTTCATTGGTCAACAACGACGAATGCAGACTCAACGAGCCTCGAGTGCAATTCATGTGCGACAAAAACCTGTCGCAATCGCTCCGATGCCAAATTCTACACGAACAGAACCGTAAACAATTCGAACAAACGCATAGATTCTACACTGATCAGTGCGTACTCTCACCGGTCGAGGAACTCTGTCGCATTCCCTGAGGTGTGCCCATGTTTTATATAATGTTTGTGTAACCATATCTGCTTTGAGGAAGTTTCGGAAATATACTATTACACCATTTGTACCATATTTGTCAATGAAATTTTGTCAGAAAATAGGTTGACCGCGTTTTTTTATACAGTAATTTTTCATCTCTGTATAGTAGTCACATATGCGTTTACCGGATCTCAGCATTCCGATCAGTCGCTCTCAGCTCAGGCTAACTGCACTACGAATTCAAGGGCGATGTCAGACAGCTGTCGTTCGATACAGATTCTGCTTCATCGTTTCGTCAGTTTCCTCTTTTAATCGCCATGATATAGAAGGTCGCTATAGACTAGGGATCCGTCGTCGTCGTCGTCGTCGTCGTCGTCGTTGACTCCGATGTCGTTTTTATGCTCTTTATATATTCGGGTCGCGCGCCGGGGCCAGCGTCCGACAGCTGTTATCACTGCCACTGCTGTAGAAGGTGGCCAGCTTGTTGCCTTCGAAATTGAACTGCATTTAAGCAACATATATTTGTACAACAATCTCTCGCTATAGGCAATATTGCCTGATTTTTGGTTACGGCACCGAATGGCACCAGCATGAAGCCGGGGTTAATCTCGGCTCCGCTTAGTCCAGGTCGCCCTGGTCCCGGTCTGAACCTTTCCGTTTGTATCAGCTGCTTGTGCCAGGCATCAAGAGCAGATGGTGGTTCACCAGAATGCCGGTGTATTTCCATTTACTTCTATATACGACTTGCGATTTGATGGATGCCCTTACTGACGGTGTAAATACCAGCTACAGACACAGCAGCCATAGTAATACACATAGTCACTACAACGGTAACGTGATTTGCCGCCTGCGTTCTTCAGCATCGGTATAGATGAAACTTGCTTAAGTGTGCGTTGCCCTTGCAACACCACCATGGCGTTACGTAAGTCTAGGTTTCGATTTGAGGTTGACGAACCTTCCTTAACATTCTGCATTT